GCACATTCCAACAGCTCGTCGAGCGGGCCTATGCCCATGGATCTCAGCTATGCTGAGGTCGAGGGAGCAGAGCTCCAAGCTGCCGGGCAACACGCGAACACACGACGGTCTTTTTTTCTGTAAGGACACCCGCCGCTGCGCAAGGCGCGTCAAGGTTCTTCAAACCATCGCTCCAACGCCTACCAGTCTGAATCGTCGGGGGGAAACGACACCACTTAGTAGGCGCGAAACGACCAACTGGGGAAGATCTGAGTTCTGTTGAGCCTCAAGGAGGCATAGATTAACAGGGTCCAGTCCCGAAGAGCTCCGGGCTTGAACACGGAACATGTATGCAAGCCGGGCTTGCTGGTCGTGGAGGTGACCGTAAAAGGCTTCGAGAAGTCATGGAAGATCCTCATCGATTCCGGGGCGCCGGGCAATTATGCTCGACGCTCCACGATGATAGGAAGTCAGTTGTATGCTGAGGCGCTGAAAGCGCGTTTGGTCGACATCGTCACTGTTCGCCTAGCGACGGGGACACGTGTCACGGTTCGGAAGAACCCTGTGGACCTCGGAGTCAAGTTTCTTGACTTTGATAGCGTGGAACGTTGTCTAGTCTTAGACCTTGATGCAAGGTATGACCTCATTCTAGGAGTTACATGGATGGAACACCATGAGCCACGGATTGATTGGAGGTCAAAGACTTTGGGGCTACGCGCACGTCTCCTGGTGGAGCTTTGGCGAGTCATGAACCCACCACTGTTAGGAGACAAAAGCGCTGTTGACGAGAGCACTGGACCGAAAAGGTCAACGTGCTAGACATTGAAATGTCTAAGTTGGTAGACGCCAACGGTGTATTGGACAGGAGTTCCAAGCGTGGCTTGCGGGCCGATCGTGGAGTGGCACGTAACCCACTGAGCTATGCTCAAGTTTCGGAGCAGTCGCTGCATGTCATGCGTAACATGGTCGGACAGAGTCCGAGTCATTATGGGCACGGCGCGGGGGGTGGCACGTAAACCACTGAGCACTGCTCTCGTTGCGAAGCAGTCGCTACATGCCATTGATGGCGTGGTCGGACAAAGTCTGAGACAGCTTGGGCACGGCCCTTCAGATGTGCGTGGAGTGGCACGTTATCCCCTGGACGAAGACTGCGGGGTCAGCAATTCTTCGTCGGATGTCGTAGAAAACATCGGAGCTTCAAAGGAGCGGAAAGTGATGGTGACACCGGACAAAGCGTTTATCCTGGTCTCACCGAGAATAGAACCTCTGTACAGAGGCGACGGTGACGCCGTATGCCGGTTGCAAGACGCCGGGCATCGACCCTGATCCAGGGTGTGTCTACCGTAGATGACGGTGTACACTTATACACCCTCGTCAACGGTATGACGGGGGGGATGACGACGTCCGCCTCGAGGCTATGCCCGCAATAGATGCTCTTCTTGAGCTGGACGAGATATCCCTTGAAGAGTTCGGCAGTGCCTTGAAGACAGGCGATTCGGCCGAAGTGGTCATTGGACGACCGGACGAGAAGATAACTCGTCATCGCTTCTGGATGAAGCTGTCTTGGAGGACACCAAGTGATTGCTAAACGAATGAAGTGGATCCTTGATCCTACGGAATTCCTCGGATTCGTACTATCCGTTGGTAAAGGAATTCTAAGACGTCGTCTCCAAAGACCCGCCATCGGTCCTATCTCCGGACCGAGGTGTGCGTCATGAGATCGACCAGGTTCCGGGAACCAAATACTGCGTAACACGCCAATGGCCCCTGCCCAAGGGGCAGTGCGACGTCATTCACGCCTTCTTCTTTGCGAAGCACGACGCAGGGATGGTACGTGAGAGCAATTCTCCCCATTAAACACCCGCGTTTTGTCTTTTTTAGAAACCGAAGGGCAAATGGCGTATCGTTCATGCTTACAATAAGCTTTACGCTGCCACTATTCCGGCACAGACGCCGATTCATTGAAAGGATGTTCTTCAAAACATCATAGTGGGATGTACGAAGTACAGTGCCCTCGACTTGGTTGATAGGTATTACCTATCGCTCATGAGAGCGAGTGATATTCCGCTAACAGCGGTGAGCACTCCTAGTGGCATGCTCTGGGAGGGGCTGGTGATGCCCCGAGGGCTGTCAAACACCAGCAACATTTAATCGTCATGTGACGGAGTTGTTTAGGCCCCAAAGGGCTTATGCACAGACATAATTTGACGACATTTTCGTTCATAGTCGTGGGAGCACGGGAGGGCAGATGAGGAGAATGACATCGTCCATTTAAGAGCGGTGCTCGAATACATGCGCACGAACAGTTTGTACGTCAATGCAGACACGTGTATCTTTGGT